TAGACATTTTGTAACTGACAAAAGGCATCATTTTCAGTTTAAGGGCGGTCAAGAGGAGGGGACGAGGCAGGCGATTGTTGCAAGGGAAAAAAAAAAAAAGAGAGAGGTGTGAAAAGAGGAAAGTGACACTTTAGGGACTCTGCACCCAGCACTGTCCAGCTGGGCTCATGTTTCACTCTAAGTCATGGTTTGCTTAAACATGGTTTACCGACTAAGACCCAGATGTTGGCACGATGCACTCAGCGAAAACCCAATGGAACCACATTTTGCCTAAACATGGTGTACTAAACCACAGCTGGTTAGTTTGGCACAATGCTAGCAAACCAGGGCTACTTCAGATTGTTTTAATTCCACAAACACAAACTACCTTCCTGCTCACGGTCACAGCAACACAGCAACTCCAACCCTATCATACTCAGCTTTGTCTCTGCTCAGCCTTTAGACACTGGACTGCCCAGGAAGAGGACTTAAAGCAGGGGTCTTCAAACTTGGCCCTTTACAAGATTTCGACTCCCAGAATTCCATAGCCAGGCATGTTGGCTGAGGAATTCTGAGAGTTGGTCCACAAGTCACAAAAGGGCCAAGTTTGAAGACCACTGACTTAAAGGGACAGGGCGCCCGCAGCCCAAGTGAGGAATTTCCCAACGGTGAGAACAATTAACCAGTGGAACAGCTTGCCTTCAAAAGTTGTGGGTGCACCATCACTAGAGGTTTTTAAGAAAAGACTGGACAGCCATTTGTCTGGAATGGTATAGAGTTTCCTGCTGGAGCAAGCGGTTGGACTAGAAGACCTCCAAGGTCCCTTCCAGCTCTGTTATTCAGTTGGCCATTTGCAAGCAGCCTGTGTCCTCTCACACCCCTTAACATTCCTGCAGTTGGACAGTGATGCCATCAAGATGCCCACTTGTGTCCTTTTATTCCATTTTCTTTGCTTGTTTTTGTCTAAACAGAACTGATGCCCTTGGTTGTTACGTAATTCCATAAGAGACTGGGTTTACGAAGCCCTAATCCCTTCTCCCCCCACCCCCCAGCTGCAGAATTTATAATCTTTCCAGAGAAGTGAAGCTTGCTAAAAGACATAGATGCCAAGAAGGGGGTGTGTGGAAGGCAGAGATTTATGCTTATTTGTTTTTCTCAAACGCATTTCAGAACGTGATTATTTTGCTTGTATAAACAAACCCGCATCGAATCAGTTCTGTAGAGACTGCACGGCATGCAGAAAGTGGTTGTCTCCAGCTCATTAAATTTTACTATTTGCACATATTCTGCTTTTTAATCTGAACAGAGCTGTTCAAATCAGGTTTAGGGAAAAGACTCAGAGGGCTAACCGAATGAGAGCTCTGTCAGTACTTTGATCTGGAAAATCTGTTCACAATCTGGAACCTTTATTTGTACTATATTTCTTACTATCAATAGTAAGATATTAAAATTCCTTGGTATTTCATCAGTCTTTGTGCTGGCATCCTACCCATGCTGTCACCCGCAGAAATATAAAAGAGGCATTTTTTTTTTTTTTTAAACTGAGCTCATCCATAAAGCCGCTGTGGTGTAAAAACCAGAATTTATGTTTAAATGGAGTGTAGAATCATTGTGGCTTTTTTTAAAAAAGAAAAAAAATTGCATTTAAACCACACATCATTTAAGAGTATTTTGTGAACCATACCCAATTTTGTCTGTAATAATTCACTGCTATTCCTTTATTTCAAAACCCTGCTTAGCGAATTTTTGTAATCAAAAAGTTGATTTCTGTGCTTGCTGTGTTGATTGTATATAGGATGAGTCTGGATGGTTTAGGTATCATCCAGAGTCATTCATTTGTGACTTGTTTTAACTATGATTTAGTGAGTAAGCCCTTATTAGCTAGATTTCTGTCCTAATCACTGTAAATCAGGATTTAAAAATTCTCAATAGCCAGACCCAGAGCCAGTTTGGTTTAGACAGAGCCAGTCTGCATAGTGGTTTAGGTATTGGGCAAGATAATCGGAAGACTGTGAGCTCTAATCCCACTTACCCATGAAAACCAGCTGGGTGTCTTTGGGCCATTCATCAGAAGATTGGGAGTTTTACTCCCGCCTTAGCCGTGAAAGCCAGCTGAGTGACTATGCACCAATCACCAGGAGATTGGGAGTTCTAGTCCCACCTTAGCCGTGAAAACCAGCTGGGTGATTGTGCACCAATCACCAGGAGACTGGGAGTTCTAGTCCCGCCTTAGCCGTGAAAGCCAGCTGGGTGACTGTGCACCAATCACCAGGAGAGTGGGAGTTCTAGTCCCTCCTTAGCCGTGAAAGCCAGCTGGGTGACTGTGCACCAATCACCAGGAGACTGGGAGTTCTAGTCCCGCCTTAGCCGTGAAAGCCAGCTGGGTGACTGTGCACCAATCACCAGGAGACTGGGAGTTCTAGTCCCGCCTTAGCTGTGAAAGCCAGCTGGATGACTGTGCACCAATCACCAGGAGACTGGGAGTTTTAGTCCTGCCTTAGCCGTGAAAGCCAGATGGGTGACTTTAGGCCAGCCCTTCTCTCTCTGCTCAACCCCCTCACAAGGCTATTGTTGTGGGGAAAATAGGAGGAAAGGGCTATTAGATATGTTCACTGGCTTGAGTTATTTATAAAGTAATAAACATGAAATAAAAATCTAATAGAATAAAAAAAATCTATAGAACACATTAAACTACAACTAAGCAAATAGTATTTCAGATTAGAGTAATAGGTCAACTCAAGTACATTTTTTTAACACGGTACAATGCAAACATGAAAAAGCTTTCAAGATTCTCTAGAAGTTCTACAACAGATTCCGCTTCAAAAAAAAGGACTGTTTTGCTCTACTTTCATCCCCCCTCCATCAATATGCTTCTTCTTTTAGATAAATCAAATTGCCTGTACCACTATAATCGTAGATGAGCGGAGTGAGTACTTTCCTTGCATTTTGATCAAGGGAGTGTTAAAAAAGAAAAGTGGAAAGTTGTAATATTTCTCTTTCAAAATAAGTACTTGTTAAATAGAGCTCATGCACCACACTTTTTTTTTTAAAGAAAAGCAGTTTTGACACTTCTGAATTCAGTACATTCTGCATTTTTGAACTAATTATGAGGACTTGTTTTTTTTCTCCCCCTTTCACACCTTTCAGCAAGTAAAAAAAAAAAATCTTAACTGAAAGAAGAAAGGGAGAAGTCAAATCAAAGCAGTTTCCAAGCTGTTAAGGACAGGAATGGAGCATTTATGCAATTTATTGGTGACCAAGGAAGATGTTTATCCTCCTAGCTGAAAATAAATATGGATTTTGGGTCTAGCGTTCAGCTGTAAAAAGGGTGATTTTGTTTGAGTTGAGCATGTTGTGTGAAGCACCATAAAACCTGTTTTGTGAGTGAACAGGACATGCAAACACAGACAAGTGTGGCTGATTCAACCAGCCTTGGTTTACTGCAAGGAGTGAACCCAGCCAGGATCATAATTTGAGACGAATGAGACTTGCAACAAAATATTGCAGTATAGAGATAGTCCTTGACTTAGAAACAGTCCATGTTGTGAATGTTTAAAGTTACAATGGCCACTGAAAAAAAGGGATGGATGATTTGTTTTTCACACTTACAACCCTTGCGGCATTGCAACGGTCATGTGATCATATGGTCATGTGGTCAAAATTCAGATGCTTGGCAACTGAGTTGCAGCAGCTTGGGGGTCATGTGATCAGCTTCTGACAAGCAAAGTGAGTGGGGAAACCAGATTCTCTTAACAACTGTGTTGCTAACTTAACAACTGCAGTGATTTACTTAACAGCTGTGGCAAGAAAGGTTATTCTTGTCAATTCCTCAATCTGGGAGAATGGCTTGGTGCTGGACATCACCTGGATGTCAAAATCTGGATTTTAAAGCAGGTAGGCAAGTCCACTTTTTTAGAATGCATTTTCAGATGGGAAAAGAGGTGTCTTAAATCCCTCTCAGGTCTGTGGATATCTCTTTTTGCCTTTTATCTATCAGCATTTGTCAACCTGGGCAACCTTAAGATAGGTGGACTTCAACTCCCAGAATTCCCCTTCCAGCCACAACCGAGATTGAAAAGTCTAGAACAGTGTTTCTCTTTAAGTTAATTGGACTTCAACTCCCAGAATTCCCCATCCAACCCTGATTGGAATTGAAGTTCTAGATCAGTGTTTCTCAACCTTGGTAGCTTTAGGTTTGCTACCAACTTCAACTCCCAGAATTCCCCATCCAACCCTGATTGAGGTTGGGAGCTCTAGAACAGTGTTTCTCTTTAATTGGACTTCAACTCCCAGAATTCCCCATCCAACCCTGGTTGAGGTTGAGAGCTCTAGAACAGTGTTTCTCTTTAATTGGACTTCAACTCCCAGAATTCCCCATCCAACCCTGGTTGAGGTTGGGAGCTCTACAACAGTGTTTCTCTTTAATTGGACTTCAACTCCCAGAATTCCCCATCCAACCCTGGTTGAGGTTGGGAGCTCTGGAACAGTGTTTCTCTTTAATTGGACTTCAACTCCCAGAATTCCCTATCCAACTCTAATTGAGATTGGGGGTTCTAGAACCGTGTTTTTAAACCTTGGTAGCGTTAAGGTAGAAACACGCTGGCTGGGAAATCCTGCAAATTGAAGTCCACACTTCTCAAAGTCACCAAGGTTGAACTATCCTGGGTTAGATAATCCTCAAGGTCCCTTGCATTCTGCAACATTATGAGCTTGAGAAGGCAGACTGCCAAACCCTTAGGAGACACAACAACTATCCCTCTTCACAAAGGCTACTCAACACTCTTTCGCTCATAAGCTACACATGCATTACCTCCAAGCCTGTTTTAATCAGCCAGTTGAGAACATGGAAGGGGGGGGGGGAGTTTTGAGTATTTGAGAACCTGTAGCACTTACAGCAATTCAGAGAAAAGAAATCTTTAAGAATACCCAGAGAAAGGTGTTGGTACCATTTTATCATGTAAGAGTCCTGACCATTTAGGATGTTATTTTCGCCCTCCGCTCAGATTCCACTTGATACTTGCCGGATAATTGCTTGCTGCTAGAAATCCGTCTTCTAAATCCATTTATTTTTTTTCCCCCTCTTTCCTAGGAAAGAAAAAAAAAAGATTCCAAAAACAGCTTTCACTAATAGAGCAGAGAAATTAATGCACATCAAATGCCGAGTTTTACGGCGTCTGCTTTATAGAGCTCTAGGGAGTTACTTTAGGAAGGGGGGGGGCGGAGGAAAAGATGCACACACACACAGTATTTTAAGAGCCCATGTTTAGCAGAGGAAGGAATATGGATAAAGGCATTAATTTCAAAGTGCAAGTATTTCAAGAAAAAAAATTATGTCTGCTTTTCTAGCCCTTAAGCTTTTTAAATCATGGCTTCAGGGTAAGTTCCCTCTATTTGAATTTCACTGTTACATTATCCTACTAATATTGACATTAGCATCAATGGTATTTCTGAGATGGTTTTTTTTTTTTTTTTATGCAAAGCATGGCAAACTCATCGTCTCTTGCTTGTACCTTAGCATGTTGGCTTATGCCAGCCGCTGCAGTTAGTAAACCACATTTCACGGTTTAGAACAAGGCTGGGCAATCTGCAGATCTATATATTAGATATAGATGACTGGACAGCCATTTGTCCGAAATGGTATAGGGTTTCCTGCCTGAGCAGGGGGTTGGACTAGATGACCTCCCTTCCAACTTCTTCTTCTTCTTCTTCTTCTTCTTCTTCTTCTTCTTATTATTATTATTATTATTATTATTATTATTATTAGCCTCACTACAGGTAGTTCTCGACTTACAGCCGTTGGTTTAGTGAATGTCTGAAGTTACAACAGCGCTGAAAAAGGGAGTTATGATTGTTTTTCACCGTTACGACCGCGGCAGCATCCCCAGGGTCACGTGATCAAAATTCGGACGCTTGGCCATCGGTTTGTATTTATGACGGTTGCAGTGGCCCGGGGTCACGTGATCCCCTTTTGTGACCTTCTGATAAGCAATGTCCACGGGCAAGCCAGATTCATCTAACAACCATTTTACTAACTTAACTACTGCAGTAAAATCTCTTAACGGTGGCAAGGAAGGTCGTAACATGTTCTGTTGCTCTGTGAGACGGTCGTTAAATGGCTTTTGCCCCATTTCACGACCTTTCATGCCACAGTGGTGAAGTGAATCGTTGCAGGTGTTAGGTGAATAACACGGGTGTTAAGTCAATGTGGCTTCCCCGTTGATTTTGCAGAAGGTCGCAAAAAGGGGGTCACATGACCCCGGGACACTGCAACAGTCGTGAGTACATGCCAGTTGCCCAGCTTCCATATTTTGATCACGTGACCACGGGGATGCTGCAACGATGGTAAGTGTGAAAAACGGTCATAATTTTTTTTTTCAATGCCACTGTAACTTTGAATGGTTACTAAACGATTGTTGTAAATTGAGGGCAAGCTGAGGTGGCGCAGCAGTTAGGGTGCAGTACTGCAGGCCACTTTAGCTGACTGTGTTCAGCAGGTCAGCGGTTCAAATCTCACCGGCTCAAGGTTGATTCAGCCTTCCATCCTTCCGAGGTAGGTAAAATGAGGACCCAAATTGTTGGGGGCAATGTAAATATATATATATACATTGCTTACTGGTGTACACTGCTTAGAGAGTGCTTGCACTTAAAGCAGTATATAAGTCTCATAAATAAATAAATAAAGCTGTATTTGTTCACATCAGATTATTGTCAAAGGCTTATCGTGTATCGCAAATAAACACAGCTAAAGCAACGTGATTCTCTGTAGCTTACATCTAAGCTAAAAGGAGGCAGACATGCACTATGCATTCAACACATTATCTTTGCGTCGTACTTTACGGTGGCTTGCTTAATCATGGTTTATCCAATAAGACCTAATTAAGTGACTTTCCAGCCTGCGCTAAGTTATATATCCCATCAGTCAAAGCCAAACCAACTACAATGGCTGGTTTGTCTCCCATAAACCCTAATATGTCTGCTTGGTTTTGGCTGATCCTGTTATGGGGACTTAGGCCCCGAGCTATGTAAACTATGAAATGATTTAATATGGAGCAAATTTAATCAACTTTGAGTAAGCAATCCTTGGCTTAAATGAATCCAAGGTGGTTCTACCAAGTTGACATATGCTTAAAACCAAGGCAAGGATTTAAAATGAGTTCCTTTCCAGAGTCTGTAGGCACAAATTTTTATACTGCCTTCCCAATTTTTTTTTCTTTTTGCAACTTATTTAAGAGGAAGAAAAGCGTTCCAGAGCTTCTTATTAAAACTGTGAGAAAATCTGGGATGTTCATAAATTTTAAATCTACAATTTGCTGTGCAAGGAAGCAAGCTGAATAAGAAGGGGAAAAAAAGATACTTAAGAATATGTAAACATTCCAGTGTTATTTACAGGCCACTCAAGGTTTTAAACAATTAGTAACATAAGTTTTCTGTCTACAAACACAAAATGATACTGTGAAACAGTTAAGTCAACAACAAAAAATGTAATTTGCAACCAGGTTTTGGGCCAGTGAAAATGAAGTCTATAGAAAAACTCAGGCTTGGTTCTCGTAACTTGCTAAATTGTGGCTTAATCATAGCTTATTAAATAATCCCCAATGGGTTAGGCTTGCATTGTACTTGAAAGCCATATCCCTGGCCGTAATGCTTGAATTCATAACTGTATTTTGTGATTGCTTGGCTTAGTTACAGGTGCAAACCAGGCAGGTGAATTCACTGTTGCCTAAACATTTTGCACACTTCCGCTCCAGAATGGATCCGATTTGCAAGCTCTCCAAACAGGCTCAGATCATCCCAGGATCTGGAAGATATTCTCCAAGACAATATGCTTTCGGCCCCCAAAATTGTGCACACAACAAGGTAAAGTACCTCTAAAGACACTGTCTCACTTCTAGATCGTCTGTTTGTCAATGTGCCCCCTCTTTCCTCGCACATTACGCCTGACGCATCAGAAGTGCACACTTAAAAATGTAATGTGTGACACGGCTTTAAGTGGCACAGGGAAAACAGATTTCACACCTTGCTAAAGATGCTCTTATTCTTCACACCTCAAGTCGTCACAAAAGGCACGCACTGAAAGGGCTTTGCGGAAGCCTTCGGGTCCGTTGTGTGTGTTGACAACAGGTCTTTAAAGGCAGAAACAGGAACGCTTAACCTCTCCCCATTGATGCTGCCCTCTGTGTTGCAACCCTACTTAAAATCATTAGGCTTGATTTAGAGGGGGTAAGGAGCAGGGGAAATTCTACACCCCTCCCTGCTACTTCTGTTGTGCAGCTTGGAAGGACACGCCAGGGATGCTACAGACGAGAGGAAAAACTTCCAGGCATCACATCATACTTAAATCTCCTTTTCTCCCCTGCAAACTGCACCTACCTCATTGCTCTGGAATTCTGCAGCACATTGTTCTCCTACACGCAGGCTTGGTCCATAAAGACCCCGTCTGGTCCCCTGAGATAGGAACGTCCTAAGTTAGAGAGGAATTTCTGTTACTTGGTTGGTAGGGAAGGAGGAAGGAAGGAAGGAAGGAAGGAAGGAAGGAAGGAAGGAAGGAAGGAAGGAAGGAAGGAAGGAAGGGACAATGAGAGGGAGGGAGGGAAGGAAGGGACAATGAGAGGGAGGGAGGAAAGGAAGGGACAATGAGAGGAGGAAGGAAGGAAATGGAGGGAGAAGAATGTGAGGGAAGGAAGGAGAATGGGAAGGAAGGAAGAGACAATGAGAGGAGGGAAGGAAGGAAGGAAGGAAGGAAGGAAGGAAGGAAGGAAGGAAGGAAGGAAGGAAGGAAGGAAAGGCAATGAGAAGGAAGGGCAATGGGAAGGAAGAAAAGGGAAGAAGAAAAAGAAAGAGAAAAAAACCCCTTCTCCAGACTACCCATGCTTCAACCGTCAACCCTACTGACCCCTAACCTCCTTGCATCTCCTCCATTACAGACCAGAATTGTGTTGCTTTTGAAAACCTTCCCAAGGCCAAACATTTCAAAGTCCCAGAAGAGGGAAGAAACTAGGAGAAGGGGAGGGGGGAGAAAAAAAAATCCCATCTCCACTGAGAGTCCAGCCAAGCCTACCCGTGGATAAACGGCAAGTTCCGAGTAGCCTGCAATTACCAAAGGAAATGGTTAGACATTCAGCCATCTTTCTTGCTTAATTGAGCCAAGACTGATTACAGGATGCCTTCCAATGCAGATGACACCCGTCCATCTGTAATTTGGGGTTAAGGAAGGAACAAAATGCCAATTTGTCTCTCCTGGCTTGAGGGGCAGAGCTACGTCAGGAGCTTAATGGCCCAGCTGGCCTACCTTCCCAGGCTGTACAGACAGAAATCAAAGTATTGTTTTTAAAAGCTGATTTATACCCTGCCTCAAGCGGGCATAAATTGTGCTCTATCCTAGGGCCTTTATTTTTTTAGTTTTTTTTAAAACCCTGCCTGTATTATTTTTATGACTTTATTTTTATTATTTAGCCGTGCAGATATGAAATAAGGATCTCCTGCTTGAGCAGGGGGTTGAACTACTCCATGGTCCCCTTCAACTCTGATATTCTGTTCTATGTTCTAGGAGATGCCCAGCAAATTAATTTCATAAATAAATAATTTTAATAACTATGTCAAGGCGGTGAACATACCTAATACTCCTTCCTCTTCTTATTTGTTCCAAAACAGCCCTAGCTGGGTTTCTAAAAAAGTATAAACTTTTAGGTTTACAGTTTCCCAAATTTGTTTTGCTGCCTTGAATAAAAAATATTGGTCTGTTTATTTCAGACTGAGCTGTAGTTTGGCGGTCTCCGTCCAGCCAAACCGATGGTGGCTTATTCAGTAAATGTTAAAACCCTGGTTAATTCAGGGCCTGCCCTACAGAGACAATCTGTGTGGCTGAAGGTGGCAAGGGTCATCCACTACTTTTGTGACCTGGCCACTTTTGAGTTATTTATAAAAATAATGAAGGCGGGATATTAAATAAATACAGAGGTCCCCTTTACGTATCAGCTTCTTGCCCTCCAGTTGTGCTGAAGGACAACTTCCAAAACTACCCATTAGTGGCTGCTGTATTACGCTGACTGGGAATACTGGTGCTGACTGGGAATATTAGTGCAATGAGGTTGGTTGCACTTCAGCTCAGCCCCTAGCCTGACCTCGGTTGACTCGGAAGCCAAGATTAAGGGATTGTGTGAACCAGTTCAAGGTGCCACGAGGGTCAACCCCACAAGTGATCCCTCCATAGCCAACTTTCCCCACTCATTCCTCGGGCGCCCCCAGCCTCTCGGGCACCCCTCAGTCCCCCCAAGGTGCCCGTCCTCACATTCAAACAGCTTGGAGAGGGCTCAGCATCTTGCTTTGAAAGGGGGGGCAGGGACCCCCAACTCTTCCCAGCTCCAAACATGGGTCCATTCAGGCAGGAGAAGAAAAGAACGAGGGTCGTGTTTGCTCTACTGACCCAGGGAGGCTAACCTGGGCAGTCGTGGGAAGCCTTCCTTGACACGGAGTTTGCCACCTGATGAGGAGGGGGCCCCAACTGGCATGCAAGCCGGATCTTCCTTTCTCACCCAGCCCCTTCCCCAAAACTCCAGGCTGACTTTTTTTAAAAAAAAAAAAAAAAAAAGAGGGGAGGGATGGTGCTTCTGCCTTTCCCTCAGGCAAAAAGAGAGAGAGAGAGAGAGAGAGAGAGAGAGAGAGAGAGACAGAGACAGAGAGAAGCAGAAAAAGAAAGAAACCAGAGAAAAAGAGAAAGATATGAGAGAGGGGGGGGCAGGGGGAGAGAGAGACAGAAAGAGAAAGAGATGAGAGAGAGATATGAGAAAGATATGAGAGAAAGAAAGATATGAGAGAAAGATATGAGAAAGACAGAAAGATATGAGAGAGGTAGAGAGAGAGAGAGAAAGAGAAAGATATGAGAGGCAGAGAGAAAGAGAAAGATATCAGAGAGAGAAAGATATGAGAGAGAAAGATATGAGAGAGATAGAAAGATATGAGAGAGGTAGAGAGAGAGAGAAAGAGAAAGATATGAGAAAGATATGAGAGGCAGAGAGAAAGAGAAAGATATGAGAGAGATAGATATGAGAAAGATATGAGAGAGGCAGCGAGAGAGAGAGAGGCAGAGAGAGAGAGAGAGAGAGAGAGAGAGAGAGAAAGATATGAGAGAAAGTTATGAGAGAAAGATATGAGAAAGATATGAGAGAGGCAGAGAGATAAAGATATGAGAGAAAGATATGAGGCAGAGAGAAAGATATGAGAGAAAGATATGAGAGAGAGAGGCAGAGAGAGAAAGATGTGTGAGAGACAGAAAGAGTGATAGACAAGAAAGAAAAAGATGTGTGTGTGTGTGTGTGTGTGTGTGTGTGAGAGAGAGAGAGAGAGAGAGAGAGAGAGAGAGAGAGAGAGAGAGAGAGAGAGAGAGAGAGAGACCCTTCGAGGCGGGTGGTCGCCTCTCTCCTTTCCTCCCCCCCCACAGCCCCTCCAATTGGGGAGGAGGGGGCGGGACCGACGCCTGCCAGCCAGCCAGTCACGCGGCGGCGGAGGCGCGCGCGAGGCACTCGGAAAAGGGGGAGGGGGGGGAGAGCGAGCGCGAGATAGCGAGCGCGAGCGCGCGCGCGCGCGCGAGAGAGAGAGAGAGAGCACGCGCGCGCGCCAGGTGGTTGGGGAAGGCGCGCGGGGAGGGCGGGCGGGAGCGCGCGCGGGGAGGGCGGGCGGTCGGGAGCTGCGGCGAGCGAGTGACGCGCAGCTGGCCGGCCCTGCTCATGCGCAGCCGGCCGGGCGGTGCTAAAGCCCCGAGCGAGCCAGCGAGGAGGAGGAGGAGGGCGACCGGGGGGCGGCCGAGCGCAGGGCTGGGCAGCGGCGACGGCAGCGGGAGCAGCAGAAGCGGCGGCGGCGGCGGCGGCATGAGGAGGCGCAACCGGCGCGGCCCCTCCTGAGGCGCGCCCCGAGCCGGGGTGGGCGGCGCGCGCGCGGGCGAGGGAGGGCGGGAGGGAGGCGGGCGGGCGGGCAACGGGCGGCTGAGGGGCGCAGGCGGCGGCTGCTCCTGCCGGGCGGGGGGCGGGCGAGGGGAGCCCGCCGGGCCGGGCGAGGCGGGGGCAAAGTTGGGCAGGGGCCGAGCGGGCCGGCGGGCCCAGCCGCTCGCCCGCAGCCCCCGAGGAGGAGGAGGAGGAAGGCTCTGTCTTCGGCTCTGCTGCTGCTGGTCTTGCTGCAAGAGAGGAGCCTTTCCTTTCCTCTCCTCCTTCCTTCCTTCCTTCCTTCCTTCCTTCCTTCCTTCCTTCCTTCCTTCCTTCCTTCCTTCCTTCCTCCTTTCCTTCCTTCCTTCATCCTTTCCTTCCTTCCTTCATCCCTTCCTTCCTTCCTTCCTTCCTTCCTTCCATCTTTCCTCCCTCCCTTCTTCATTTCCTCCCTTCCTTCTTTCCTCCCTCCCTTCTTCATTTCCTTTCTTTCCTTTCCTTTCCTCCTTCCTTCCTTCCTTCCTCCTTTCCTTTCCTTTCCTTTCTCATTCCTTTCCCCCTTCCCCTTTTCTTTCAGCCTTCGTTCCTCCTTTCCTTCCGCCTTCCTTTCCTCCTTTCCTCCCTTCCTTCTTTCCTTCCTGACGCGCGCTTGGCCTCGCAACAAAGTTGCAGCGCCAGCCTCGGCGAAGCGGCCGGCGCCCCTCTTTGGCGCCCTCGCCTACTCGGGGCGCCCCCGGATTCGAACCCGGGGCGGGGCGCGGAAGGGAGGAAGGAAGGGGGGGGGGAAGAGAAAAAAAGGAGGGGGGGGGCTTCGGTTTAGTGCAGCCCCGCCGCCGCCGCCGCTGCTGCTGCTGCTCGTCTGGATTCGCCCTGCTGGATCTGCGGTGGATTGATTGATTTTTGGGGGTCTTTGGCCGAGCGGGAGGGGTGATCTGCCCCGGCTCCTGTGCCTCCGGGGAGCTCTGCTTTGGATTTGGGGAGGGGGGCGAAGCTTGGCTCTGCCTGCCTTCTCTCCCATCCCGCCGCCCCCCTTTTTTCCCTCTTTCTCCAGACCCGAACTTGAGATTCATCGCAGCGGGGCTGGTGTCCTTTTTTTTTTCCCCCGTCTTTTTTTTTTGCCCCCCTCCCCGTTTTTCTCCTCTTTCTGGTCTTCTTTTTCCTCTCTCCCCCCCCCCCAAAGAGGGGCGCCGTTTGTCAAGGTCACTGTGGATTTATCTTTGGGTTTTTGCCTGCCTCTGGATGTGGATTGCCCCCTGGGTGGCTTTCTCCTGCCTTAGCTTGGATCGCCCCTGGCTCTCTTTTCCAGGGCTGCTGGATTAGCTTTCTGGGCTCTCTCCTCCTTTGGCTGCCCTTTTGGTTCCTTTGGATTTCATGAGCCAGAAGAAAAAAGCAGCTCCGAGCCAGAGAAAGAGGCTGCTGGATCCTACAAAAAAATCCCAATAAGACTGAATTGTGTGTTTTGGGGTCTTAAACTCGGCTGGCTTTGGAAATGGATGGCAAGATCAGACAAAGCAGGAAATCCCGATCCCAAAGGGATCGGGTGAGGCGCAGAGACCCCAACGGCAGGGATAGACTTCACCAAAGCCCCTCCTCAACCTCCGAAAGGGAAGCCAGTCCTGGCAAAGAGAATACAAGCCAAAGTGGTCTGCTTCCCAAGAGCCAGGCTTCTGCGGGCAGAAATGCCAGACCTCCGAGGCGGCGGAGGCGGGAATCCAGTTCCCAGGAAGAGGATTTAATTGATGGATTTGCCATCGCCAGCTTCATCACCATGGAAGCCTTGGAGGTAAGATGTTGGTTTACCTGGATGGGGTGGTCCTGGTTGGGAGGAGGAACACGGGAGGAAGAGCTTGGTCATCATCTGGACCGTTTTGCTTGTGCTGGTCAATCTCATGGAACGTTTGAGGGGCTTGGGGGTCAACCTCTGAAGGAATTCAAGGTGGACCTTCAGACCTAGGAGCTGGTCTGTGTTGGTCTCCATCTGTGGGACCATTTTGCTTGCACTGGTCGGTCTCACTGAACTTTTGGGAGCGGGGGGGGCTGAGTGGGTGGGACTGACATTTGGAGGAATTAAAAGTGGACCTTCAGACCTGGGAGCTGGTCTCTGTTGGTCTCCATCTGTGGGACCGCTTTGCTTGTGCTGGTCAATCTCATTGAACTTTTGAGGGGCTCGATGTCAACATCTGGACGAATTAAAGGTGGACCTTCAGGTCTTGGTCTGTGGTGGTCTCCATCTGTGATCCAAAGCACGCTAAACATCTGGCAACTGTCTTGGGTGTACTTGTGCCCTCTTCAGAGCTGATGTAGGCCAAGTCTTCTGGTTGACCCTTGCTCTCCATTTCAGCTGGGAAGCAGTGAGGGTCACTGAGGCAAGCTGTGTGTTGGTTTAGCTTTGTAATGGGCTTGCCAACCTGTTTGGAGCACAGGGAGGTGAAGGCAAAACTTTCTTTAAATGCCAGCCCTGCAGAAAGTGCACCACTGTTTTAAAAACTGGGTTGAATGAGAAAATAGAGAGCTTTGGAGCCTGGGGTGTCAATTGCCCCAACTAGGATAATTCTCTGGCTGTTGGGAGAAGCAGCTGTTGAATCAGGCTGGAGAGATTTTCCCTGTTGGCCTGAATGTGCTTTTGGTTTTTAAGGCAGAAGAGAAATTAAGAATAATCGGAGGGAATTGCTTTGCTTGGTATTATTGTATTGAAGTTGGTATTGGCTTGTTTCTTCTGCATATAAAAGTTAAGCGAAGCGAGCAACAATATTTTTAGAGAGTTTGGACAAAATGGGGGATTTTGTGTTGCTAGTGATTTTTTTTTGGTTGTTTTGTTTTTCTGTTCAGTTTTTATTCATGATGTGATGGGAAAGTCTGAATGGGTAAGAATTTCTGGTAACGTGTTTTTATCCTGCTATATATCTTAGTCATTTTCGATGGGCTTCCCTTCCATTAAGAAACAAAAAGGTTTGGGTAGTGTTACCATTCTGGATTGTGTGTGTTTTTTTTTAAGGAATAAGTCAAAACAACTGAACCAGAACGGGCTACCTTAGAAATCTGGTGATCATTGCATGCAAGGTGTAATATGGAGTAACACTGATACTTGCCCAAATAAAGAATTGTTCTAAAGTTGGCCAATTGGTCTGTCTAGAATGTATTATGAATATGATGTGTTTTTCCTTGTTGTTTTCCCTGGAAGATTCACTTTGAAGGTGTAGGAAGTCACCTCAGGATTTCCTGTTGTACTTTGTCAAACTTTTTCTGGTTGAGCACTGTCCGTTTCTCCCAAGGTACAGGTGTTACTCTGAAAGCTTTCATTTCCGTGGATTAAAAAGAAAACAACCGTGCTATTTTTTGAAATCTGCTGTAATGGGTGTTTGGAGAAAGATGTCCCTTCCATGCGGTGAAGTTGCATGCATGTGAAGTCTAAAAGTATTTTTCATCAGACTGTTATTGTGACTGTTTTAACCAGAAGGCTGACAGGATGAAATCTGCATGTTTCTTGTCTCGATTGTGGTGGTAGCAGATGCAAGGAAATTTCCTGCTTGTTTGTCATTGTTCTTGTTCTCACTGTCTTTACTTTCCCTGGTATTTTCCTGCAAAACGATGGCTATCTATCTGTCAAGCACTCAAATTAGTTGCTAATCAAATTGATGGGCCTCTAGAACAGTTGTTAAGAGAATTCGTAATATTTCTGCTGTCTAATATATCTTGGTCGGATGCCAGCTGGAAAAGCTGCTTCGGTGTCTTCTGCTTCGGTGATGGTCCTTAGAGCATCCTATCTTTGACAAAGTTGGGTGGTTTGAAAGAATTGCACAAGGCCATTGTGACAAACAAGGGGGTTTGTCCACTGATCACCAATAAACAAGATGCAAATTGTCAGAAAGCGCCCAGCTTTATTCTCTCTAAAACTGCATTTTTGTGAAAATGGAGAATGTATACAATGTATGGTTCTCTCTGTAGTGAAGAATACCTAAAGATTTCACGTGCTTTACTCTTCAATAATAGATTAAATTTGAATTGCTGGCTTGGTGTATATTTATATCATGAATCAGTTCTGTTGCTTATCTAGGGAGATTTAAATCGCTCCAGTGTCTGGAGTAAGGTGTGTGTTTTCTTTCCAAATTAGCTTACACCTCTGTATGTCATTTGGCCTCAAGATGATTCCCACAAAGTGTAAACCCAATGACTAGGTTCACCCATAATCTGGAGTTTTGTTCACAATCAAGAGAAAAGTGCTCACAAAACAAGTAATATGTGCAAGTCTATCTTTGCTGGTGTGCGGTGGCATTTTTACAAGATAAATGGTTCTCTGTGCATGGAATTACTTGGCAGTGGGGATTCTTTCCGTCCTCAAAGTAAGTCTCTTTATGGATTTTCTTTCTTAAAAGTGTTTGTCAACATCCTTGAAACTGACTGAGAACCGCAAAATTAGGGCTGTAATTAAGCGAATAAATAAGGAACCGAAATGAATAGACAGGTGTACCTATCTTTCCAGCAGATCCTGCAAGTGATACTTGGGAGCGCTTGAACAATAAAAGAGAAGGATGAAAGGGATCTTATCAGTCTCTCAGATGATTGAACCTTGATCAACCGGTTTACAAAGACGGCAAAAGATCACTTAAAAAAAAGACTCTGTCTGTGTTTACATCACTTGTGTATCCCTTGAAATGGCTTGTGGAAATAATTGCATGGAAATGCTAGCTTTAGCTTCCCTCCACCAAATGTCATTTTGGCAGAACAAAAAAAGGCTGCAATTTTGCCACCCCTATTCAAGCGATCCTTTTTTTTTTTAACCAGAGCTTCTTCAGGCAAGGCAGTAGGCCCTTCCTTTTTATTTATTTATTATTTTATTTGTTAAGTTTATTTGCTGTTTATCTCGCAGCTTGCAACAGTAAAAAAAGAAAGAGATGAAAAGACCGTCAACAAAACAAAAGTAAAATAAACAATGGAGAAGACGGTGAGAATACTTCAGTAAAATAACAAAAGATGGACAGGTGGGGAGCAGAGAGAGGCAGAGTCTGCTATCAATCATGGTTTCCTATCGCCCAAATATAGCACTGACTTTGAAACTGAGGGTGGCATTTGCCACCCATTTGAAAGATTGGCTATGTCAAGTTTTGGGGGAAAAAAATTGATTAGCCAAGAATACTCAGCAGAACTTAAAGGTCGAGATCTGGTTTGTAGTAGGGATTTAGCTAAATGGAGCGATCAGTACTTGTGGCTTAGCCCTTGCGCTCTGCAGCCTTAACCTAGGAGAGGGCCACCTTGAAGGATTATTTTGTAGGGATTCATTGTATGAATATGCTTGGGATAAAATGCAACCATGATTGAACTCTGGCTAATGGTGCAGGGTGAGCCTAGTGTGGCCAGCCAGCCCTGTCATTAGATGAAAGGAGAAAAACAGGTTCCGATGAATGGCAATAATGCCATAGAGCAGTGTGTTGCGATCCTTAAATTTAGAACACAGAATACTAAGGTTGGAAGGGACTTTGGGGGATCTTCTAGTCCACCTCCCTGCCCATGGCAGGAGACTCTATACCTTTCTGGACAAATTTCTTTTTAAAAATCACTAGTGATGGAGCAGCCTCGACTTCTGGAGGTTCCACTGATGGATTGTTCTCACTGTTAGGAAAGTTCTAGGTTGCTTCTCTCCTTGATCAGTTTCCATCTGTCGCTTCTTGTCCTGCCTTCAGGTGCTTTGGAGAATAGCTTGACTGCCTCTTCCTTGGGGCAGCCCCTGAGATATTGGAAGACTGCTGTCATGTCGCCCCTCGTCTTTCTCTTTATTAGACTAGACATGCCCAGTTTCTTCAATCGTTCATTTTTAGGATGTTTTTAGAGGTGATGGAGCTATTTTTGTGGATGCCCACATGACATGACCCGCAGCGTAGAGAGTTGGGATCTGTGCAAAAGCGAACTAGGCCAGGGGTCCCATAGGATCTTTAAAGGCTCGTCCTGCTTATAGGATGGCGGCATCTGCCTAGAGCCCTACCTCATTAATATGCAACTTTTGCTTTCTCGCCGTTCATTGCAATAAACAACCTACACAGGATCCATTTGTTTTCTTTCGAGAGCCAGAGTGGGAGGGGGCGAGTTGCCTCTCCAGAAGGCAGTTGTGTTGGCATAAGTGTGCATTTGGATGGGTGTGTTCTTTTCACACACACGTTCAGAAACAAAACAAGATGGGAATTCAGAAGCAAGGCTGACTCTGGTTTTTTTTCTCTTCTTCTTCATATCAAGATGCGATTGCTCTTGTTGTTCGTGGGGAAATGCCAGAGGAGCTTCTGGTATTATCCAGAAATCAAGGGGATTACCAGGGCCAAAACTCCCAAAATTAGTAGCATGTGCTCGGCTCATGTTATAGGACTTTTTCTGTCTTCTTATGGTGAGTTGCATCTTGTAAATTGAGGTCTAGTTGTGTTGTAGACCGCTAGAGAGAAATCTAGTTGTTTTTTTCCAATGCGTTCTGTGTTTTGCAGTGCAAACGTTCCTAGATTAATGCTGTGTCCTTGCAGTTATAAAAAAAGCTTTGCATTGCTAATATATTCTACTTGTGCAATTTTATATAGATAACCCTTGATTTGTGACGACAACGGAGCCCAGAATTTCTCTTAGTAGGCAAGACAGTTGTTAAGTGAGTTTGGCCCCAGGTGATGACCTTTCTTGTCACAATTGTTCAGTGAAGCACTGCAGTTGTTAAACTAGTAACACGGTTATTAAGTGAATCTGGCTTCCCCCCTTGAATTTGCGTGTCAGAAGGTCGCAAAAGGAGGTCACCTGACCCCGGGACACTGCAAC